ACCCAGACTGATGTACCCTATAAAAATTTCTTTGAAAATTAATGGAGAAATAAGATTCTTCCATGACAAAAACAACTTAAGAAATTCAGTTCCACCAAACGAACCCTAAAAAGGTACTGAGAGACATACTAGAGACAGAGAAAATGACTACAATTCCCAACAACAACAGAAAGAAACCACCAGCCAGGGCAAGCAATTAAACAAGGGAGAAAAGCAGGAAACCCGTAACAATAAAATAACATGACAAAATTGCCAGTACATATTAGTTATATCCATCAATGCAAATGGCCTCAATTCACCAATTAAAATAAATAAGTTTACAGAATGGATCAAGAACCAGGATCCAACAACATGGTGTACATAAGTAACGCATCTAACTCAAAAGGAAACTCAAAAACTGAAAGTCAAAGGGTGGAAAACAGTATATAATGCAATAGAAATCCAAAAAAGCATCTGTTTACACACAATGTGACCTTCAACCAAAAGTGATCAAAAGAGATAAAGAAAGTCACTACCTACTTGTTAGGGAAAAAATTCAAGAGGAAGAGTTAATAATCATAAATATATATGTACCAAAAACGAGCATCCAACTATATAAGACAAATACATGAAAAACCAAATATGCAATAACACAACTATAATAGAGTATCTTAATGTCCCATTGTCACAAAGAGATAGACCCAACTAGACAAAAGATGGCAAAGAAATAACAAAACTGAATCAAAAAGGTGAACAAACGGACTTAGTAGATGTTTACAAAGTGTTCAACCCAACCACATCAGAATATACATTCTTCTCAGCTGTACATGGGACATTCTCTACAACAGACCATATATTAGCCCAGAGAACATTCTTAAATAAATGCAAACAGGTTGAAATTATCCCATGCATATTATCTGACCATAGTGCACTGAATTGGAAATTAATGCAAAAGAAACTGCAAAACATACATAAACACATGGAAATTAAGTAACCTCCTGAACAACCAATAGGTTACAGATAAAATTAAAGAAGATATTAAACAATACCTACAATTCAATGAAAATACAAATACAACATACCAAAACCTGTGGGATGCAATGAAAGTGGTCCTAAGAGAGAAATATATAGCAATGAATTGTCACATCAGGAAAACAGAACAAACACAAATAAACAATCTAACGCTCACCTCAAGCTTCTAGAAAAACAAAAGCAAGCCAAACCCAAAGCTCACAGAAGAGAGGAAAGGGATCAGAACAGAAATTATTGCAATTGAGACAAAGAAAACAATATGAAGGATTAATGAACTGAAGAGTTGGTTCTTTGAAAGAAAAAATAAAACTGATAAACCTCTAGCCAATCTTATGAAGAAAAATAAAGAAGAAACTCAAAGTCATGCAATAAGGAATGAAAAGGGTGAAATTACTACAGATCTCATGGAAATTCAGAAGATCATGAATGCCTACTTTGAAAATCTTTACTCACATACGGTGGAAAACATAGAGGAAATGGACAGATTTTTAGAAACATATGAATTACTAGAGCTGAATCAAGAAGATATAACAATTTTGAATGACCTAATATCGGGTACTGAAATTGAAAATGTGATTAAAAACTTACCAACAAAAAAAAGCCCATATCAAGCATAAATATATATGCACCAAATACAGTACGATGAAGGATACACAGCTGAATTCTTTAAGAAATTTAGGGCAGATTTAACGCCAATACTCCTCAAACTCTTCAATGAAATTGGAAGGGAAGCAATTCTCCCTAACTCATTCCTAGAGGAAAGTATTATTCTGATACTAAAACCAGAGAAAGACCCAACCAAGAAGAATAGGCCAATCTCCCTAATGAACATTAATGTAAAAAGTCTCAGTAAAATACTGGCAAATAGAATGCAGCAAATCATCAAGAAGATTATATATCATGAATAAGTGGGATATATCCTAGGAATGCAGAGATGATTTAACATACACAAGTCCATAAATGCAAGACACCACATTAACAGAGCCAAAGACAAAAATCACATGATCATCTCAAGAGACACAGAAAAAGCTTTTGATAAAGTCCAACATTTGTTTATGATAAAAACCCTGAAGAAACTGGAATAGATGGTATCTAACTCAATCTAATAAAAGCCATCTATAAGAAATCAACAGCCAACATCATACTAAATGGACAAAAACTAAAAGCTTCCACTCTAAAATCAATAACAAGACAAGGATGTCCACTATCACCACTCCTACTCAGTATAGTTCTAGAAACATTAGCCAGAGCAATTAGACGAGAGAGAAATAAAAGGAATAAGGATAGGAAAAGAAGAAATTAAATTATCACTATTTGTAGATGACATGATACTCTACATAGAAAGACACTAAAAATTCCATCAAAAGACTACTGGTGTTAATAAGCAAATTCAGCAATGTAGCTGGATACAAAGTCAATACTCGAAAATCAATAGCATTCCTATACACAAACAAAAAACTCACTGAGAGAAAAATTATGGAAATGACCCCTTTCACAATAGCATCCAAAACAATGAAATACCTAGGAATCAGCCTAACAAAGGATGTAAAAGACCTGTATGTTGAAAACTATAGTACTCCAAAAAAGAAGACTGAAGAGGACATCAGAAAATGGAAATACATCCCTTGCTCTTGGTTAGGACGAATCAACACTGTGAAAATGCCAATACTCCCAAAACTATTGTATAGATTTAATGCAATTCCAATCAAAATACCATTAACATACCTTACAGATCTAGAGACAGCATTCCTAAAATTCATTTGGAAACAGAACAGATCTAGAATAGCAAACACAATCCTGGGCACAAAAGGTGAGGCAGAAGTCATCACTGAAATTATACTACAAAGCTACTGTGATAAAATCAGCATGGTACTGGCAACAAAACAGACCCGAGAATCAATAGAATAGATTAGAAGATGCAGACACAACTACAAAGACACTCAGCCACCTTGTCTTTGACAAAGGGGCTAAACATATTCACTGGAAGAAAGATAGCCTCTTTAATAAACAGTGCAGGAAAAATTGACTTTCCACATATCAAAGACTGAAACTAGACCATGTCTATCACCATGCACTGAAGTCAAAATGGATCAAAGATCTAAATATTAAAATAGAAACACTGAATCTACTGGAGGACAAAGTAGGTAGAAATCTTGAAAATATCGGGGTAGACAAAGAGTTGATGAACAAAATGCAAACTACACTGGAAATACTTCCCAGAATCAACAACTGGGATCTCTAAAGTTTTTGTGCTTCAAAAGAAATCACCAACAGAATGAAGAGAAAACCCACAGAATGGGAAAGAATTTTAGCCAGTTGTCCCTTGGACAAAGGACTTATAGCTAGAACATGGAAAGAACTGAAAAATAATAGGCCCCCCAAATTCAAAGACCCAATACATAAATGGGCATCTGAGATGAACATGTACTTCTCGGATTAAGAAATACAAATGGCAAATGAATACATCAAGACAGTATGGAGAGTCCTCAAAAAACTAGGATAAAAGGTTCCATTTCACACAGCTTCTGGGTTTCTTCTCAGAAGAATTAAAAACACTGTATCTCAGCAATATGCTCAGCCATGTTTATAGCAGGATATCTTAACAGCTAAATATTGGAAACAACCCAAATGCTCATCAACCAAGTAATGGATAAAAAAGATCGTGTTTTTTTTCATACAATGGAGTAGTATGGCCATAACGAAGGATAAAAATCAAGATTTCTAGGTAAATAGGTGGACTTTGAAATAATTCTCTTAAGTGAAATACATCAGTCACACATGTAAATATCTCATTGCTTTTCTGGTGTGAGAAACAGAAAGTGTAAATAAAGACCAAAGGGTATAATAGGAATTGTTAAACAGGAAAAAAAGAAAGGGGAATTAGGGAAGAGAGCTGCAGACAGGAAGGAAGGGAAAGGAAAAAGATAAGAGAAAGAACAAATGGAAACAATACTTCATAAATAAGGAGCGGAAAAGGGGTTGAAACGAGAGAGGGGAATGGAGAAAAATAAAGAGGAATCAAGATATATTATATACAGGTACATTCCCTATAATGAACACTAACATCTGGCATATCTTTATTGTGACAATAAACTTAATTAAAAAAAGAAAATGGTAAAAGGAAGAGACTTTTTTTTCTGAGATTATGTTAACAAAACAAGACTTCTACCTCACTATCACTCTCTTGCTCTCCTATTTCCTCTCCCTGCTGACACACACTTCAGTGTTGAGATGCCCCATGAAGCCCACGTGGAAAGGAAGTAAGGGAGGTATCAGTCCACGTGCCCCCAGGAGAGTGAACTGCACCAGGGCCAGTGTGAGCTAGAAGAGGCATCTTCTCCGTCCAACCAGTCTAGCTAAACTGGACCTGTATTCTCGACCCACAGAAACAGTGAGGTGATAAATGTGTACTGCTTTAAGCTGCTACTTTTGGATGCAATCTATTTTACAGCAACAGATAACTAATACAAATAATCTCTGCATAAAAGTACACAAGTCTACAAACTCTAGTACACATTTTAGGGAATTAGAAAGCCTCTCTAAAGTCTACCAATAGAATTAGTAACTCAAGGATTCCAGATTAAGAAACTTTTCATATGATAAACTCAAAATAATGTACACAAAGGCTAGCATGAAATTAATTTAATCATGCTATACAGGATATTATTAAGAAATTTTATTTCAATCATAATTGATATCTTGTTCAAATACTACCAAAGGTAAAAATCAAGCCAAACTATGTCAAAACATTATTTTAAATAACACATTTTATAGTTATTAATTAAGTACTGAGGATAAAATAATAAATGAAAACTAATCCACTTTGAGACTTTACTGTCTCTTGGTAAAACAAAAACAAAAACATAGGGACACACACAAAACACCTGTACCACAAGAGTTGGTAATATGAACAGCCATTTGCAAATAATATCCACTCTATACACAATGTCTTTAATGAATTTTAATTTTAAAATAATTAAAATAAATACCTGTACTGTCTTTCCAAGACCCATGTCATCACCAAGAATACAACCTCTTCCTTGAATGTAGTGCCTATAGAGAAACTGGGCCCCTTCTCGTTGGTAGTCTCTCAAGTACCTATTAATAGTATAAGGAATAACATCTCCATCTTCAGATAACTTAAAATCATTAGAAGATAAAGGAAATTTTCTGTCTGGAAAATACGGTTTTTCCAAATCTTCATCATCAAATATAAAACTCCTGGGGCAATCTTTAATAGCTCTTATTTCCTGAAGTTTTTTCAATGGTATTTTCCTTTCTTGAAAATCTGAATATAAGACAATTGCAAATGACTTCCCATGTTCATCCACTGTGATAGATTTTATGCTTGCCTCACAAAGTTTTTCATTATCTGGAAAAGGGGCGAGACATCTCTCTCCTGGATGCCATATGTCTGCAATAATAAAAAAGAAAAGGTTAAAATCTAGCTTATATAGTAGCACCTCATTTATACACTGAGAGGGGGAAAAATGTACCACATAAATATTTTTGCCAAAGAACTGAAACAAGATCAATTATATAATATGTGCATTTTTCTAAAATACATTATCAGATGATCTACAATAAACAAAATAAAGGGTGCATAATTTCTTTCCTGTGGTTCCTATCTTAGCTCTGTATCATAATCTCCCCTAGAGTTTTAAACAGATTGCTTAGGGGCTGAGGATGTGGCTCAGTGGTAGTTCTTGCCTTGCTTGTGCACAGGCCTGGGTTTGATCCTCAGCAACACACATACACACAAAATAGTAAAATATACTGCCTAGATGATTTACCTCTGATGAGTCTGAATCAGTGGATATGGGCATGGGCATCTGATTTTATTATTCTATCTGGCTGTTACTGTTGAAATCTCATGAGTCTTGTGCACAGCCAGAGTCGAGAACTCATTTAAATATTCTTAACAACTCAGAATACCATACTTACATTATTCATAATATGATACAGTAAGAGTGAAAAAGACTTGGTAACGAGTAACCTGAATTGCTCTGGGCAGCAATGCTTTTGTGATTCATCTGCTTTTCAAAAATGATTCCATCTCCTTTCCCTGGAGAGAAGTGTTTCTCCTCACTGTCCCTATTGCTGCTTTTAAACCACTGCATCAAGTGATGTACAACCAGCCAGGGAAACTTCCAGTCTACTTCAGAATGATGCCGATGATTAGATGATTTCAAATATCTTTTAGGCATCCTATAAGTCTTTGAAGAGTCTGATCTCTCTATTCTGTACTTACCCGTACAGTCATTTATTTTACTTTCTATTCCCAAAACAGTGCTGTGAAAATGGGGAGAGAGGATCCCTATAGAACATAACATTAGTAGGAATTAAAAGGTACCAAACAGAGGAAGAAAAATAAAAATAATTTTCCAAATGGAATTTCTTCTGGCAAAAATCTAAGAATTACAGGGCTACGAATGTAGGAATACTGGGGCTTATTTTTCTTACATGTGAAACCAGATGGCCAACAACAGTTTCCTAGGGTCTCTCTGAGGCTTCAATTAGAACTTTCTAACATTCATGATTATAATATATGATTATAACACATGCTTATAGTCTCATAAGCAAAAATAATGTCATTAGGATGTTCCTCATCAGTAGTTCTTCAGCAGTACTTTGGAAGGTTACTTTATAGTAACAATCTTAAGTATTTAGGAAAAAAGAAATCTGTTCTCCTAGTTTAATCCTGGTACCCAAATTGTTTGAGAACTATTATATTACTCCAAAGGACAGAGTTTTAATGCAAAATTAAAACCTTGACCTACTGGGTAAGTAAAGCAACATGTAGACCAATGTGATGTACATTCATGTCCTAACTGAACTAAAATCTTGAAGTTGCCTCTAAAGAAATTCCTCCCACTTTGTTTTACACGTTTGTCTGTCCAGTAAATTCTTTCTCATTTTTAAATATTTTATTATGTATTACTCAACATACATAATTTAAGCACCAATTACTCCAAAGATATTGATTGTACCACTAAGTGGGTATAAAATGAAGAAAACTGATACTATAAGTGATGATTAGTCTTTCTGCAACTCATTAACTGGAACCATTTATAGTCAACTTTTCAAGATAGAAAACTAGTCAGTCATTAATCTTCCTTTGATATCACTTCTACATCCAATCTGTCAGACTATCTTTCTGGTTCTACTTCAAAGATGCATTACTTCTCCAAAGCATGCATTCTCTCTAAAGGAAAGTTTGGCAAACTTTTCTGTAAAAAGTCAACACAGTAGCTATTGCCACAATGAATGGAAAGATAATGGTGATTAGCTTTTTTCTAAATTACTAACCCATTTCTACTCCAACCCATTACTAACCCATGGTCCACCTTATTTAAAGATACCCTACTACTCTCTATCTAAGCATATTGTTATCTTTGTGGAACTTCTTGTAACATGTAATTACCATGGCTACTTGTTTTTGTCTGTGTCTTACACAAGAGATAATTTCCTTTCCAAGAAAAGGTCTGTATAGTTCAAAATTTTATGCCTACAACATACCAGACACTCAATAAATATTTGCTGAATATTTTTAACAAGAACAGAGTCTTTTTTTTTTTTTTAATTTAAGGAGAAAAGAAAAAAAACCTTGAAGGGGTACAAGTTATACAGATTTACAGAAGAAAAAAATGCGCAGTAGGAAATCACTAGTTAATGGATTACATATTGCCATCTTAGAAATAATTGAGGAACAGAGTCTTGATACCTAGTGAGACACACACTAAAAAAATACATAAACATATACCTAATTGTAAAAAAAATGTTTTGAAGTCTAGAACACAGTGTTATGAGAAAGAAATATCGGGAAGCAATTTAGACAGGAAAGAGTGTTTCAGGAGGTACAGCACTCGTAAAAAAAATCCAAAGGGCATCACAAAACATTTGATGGGTATCTTTTTGGTTCCTCTGTTTGGATAAACCCTATCAAATTTAGGTTTGTAGCCAAACAACAGGCAAAACTGTTGAAATTGGGAGGATTTCCTGTGGGGCTGAATGGTGAGAGTAATGTTTCTTTAGATCCTGGCTCCCTCTCCCTTTTTTATTTCAAATTGCCCTCCTCCTTATTTTCAATTTGTATTCCTTTTCTCTGCACTTTCCCTAAATGCCAAAGTGACGCTGAGGAAACAGCATTCCTCCATAATCTCTGCCAGGAGCTTCATCTATGTTTTTACCTGCCAGGCTACTCTAGGTAGTTGTATGTGTGGTCCTTGAATTAAGTGATCAATTCCTTGCTCTCAGAGTTCAAACTTGCTACTTACCTTCCTGAAACTTACTTCTACTTTCACTACCTATTGTAAGTGACAGACAACTTCCTCAAAGGAAAAGCAAGTAGATAAACAATCAGTATATTGCTGGACACCGAACACTCAATACCAGGTGGCCTTGAAATATAACCATTACTCATGGAACCTATTACTTAATGAGCAAGAATGTGTCCCAGATAATGTGGCAAATAACCACACCCACCTGACAGAGGGAGAATATAAATCCCTATCTCAGTAACTACGTGTTAAACTTTGTGCAGTGAAACTAAACAACTCAAATCTGCGTTCATCTACATAACAAACTTCCATTTACTAATAACTGGGGCATCAGAAGAATGAAGAATAAAAATACCTAACGTTTACTGAACGCTCGCTGGGAATCACTCGTGAAGTCACAGAAATGTTTTGCATACATCCGATCTCATTGGACAGTCACGCGAACCTTGCTTTATGTACGGCCCAGGACAGAGCCCGAAGCTGCTGCTCTGGTCTCAGACAGCAGTAGCGCCAGGGCCAGTTGGACCCTGCCAGGAAGGGGCACGCGACCCGCAGCTGTCACTCACGAGCCCTCGCCCAGGGCGGTCAGGACCCGCGGAGTTGGGCAGGAGGCGAGCTCACAGCTCATACCTGGGCCGGCGGCGTCTGCACCGGGGCTCGGGGCGGCGGGGGACTCCATCCAGCCCGGGGTCGGCGGTCACAGCCAGCATCGCCCCGGAGCTCGGAGCGCCTGCAGGTGGGGGAAACGGGGCGGAGGAGTCCGGGCCGAGGGGTACCACTATGTAGTCTCAGACTTAGTAGCTGCTGCCGCCTGGGGAGGCCAGGAAGCTGACATCTCGACCCCTAAACTTTCCTCACGAAGCGCAGCCACTCCGCGACGCCCATCACTTCCCACCCCAACAGGAGCCGCGAAATTCCCGCGAGAGCTGAATCCGGGTGGCGCCGGGTCTCGCGAGAAGACGTCTAATCGGGACAAACGGGAGCGGAGCGCTTTTCTCCAGGGCTCCACCTGCAGGCTCGTAGTGGAAGCCCCGCGAGATCAGCAAGTCTCGGGAGAGTTGCGGCTGCTTGCAAGGAAGAGTGCAAAACCTTGCAGGAGGTCGCAGGTGAGGCCAAGGTTCCCCGACTTGCAGGTAGTTCCTGGCTCCTTCGTGTCTTCGCCTCAGAGCGCGCTTTTCCGGGTCACATCGTTTCTAGTAAATCTTGAGAGTAGGAAATCAGCAATGCTCGCTGTCAGTGGAAGGCAGGCACGCGAACACTGGCAACATCTAAGAGGTTTCCCTGCCTCCTGTCGCTGCCCGGAGTCGTGTGTGTAGCGTAGTGGAAGGGCCAAGCCACGCAAGTGCAGGACCCCAGCCACTCGCAAAGGGAAGCAAACGAGACTGCCTGGGTACGTTTGCGGACGCTTCAGACCAAGCCTCGCCGGCTACGGCACGTGCTAGCATGGCTGCTTGTTGCCTCCAGATCCCATCGACCGAGTTATAGCCAAAATACGCCTGTAGGAGTTTCCTGTTGGTGCTGAAACCAATTGTCAAAACGTTTTTTTTTTTTTTTGTTTTGTTTTTAATTAAAACAGCCCAGATGTGTCACAGGTAACCCTAACGTAGATCAGAAGCCCTACACATGTCTCCTTAAGCTAAAATCCAATGTCAGAGTTCTGAATTCCTTTCCGAAGGATATAAGGATTTCCATTTTCTTGCCTTTTCGAGCTTTTGTATACCTTGCTGGCCTCTGGCCCTCCTTTCTCAGAGCCTGTGATGTTTCTCTGAACCTTGCCTATCAAAAGCAACCACCGATAGAAGTAGGAAAAGATTGTTTTTGTTTTGAAGAGCTCAGCTGAATAATTGATAGTAATCTCATTTCCAGGCCTGTACCCTTAATCTCAGCAGCACAGTCTCTGGATGTTTTAGGTAATAGTATGGTTTGGAGTCCAGGAAATAGAACACAAACATCTTTAGGGGCAGTCTGTTCTGCCTACCCAGTGGCTTTAATTAGGAAAACCACATGGCTGTGTGTTCTACAAATAGATCACAATTCTTTGACAGCTACTAAAACTTAATAGCATGTTTTCATAAAATGCTTTATACAGAGTGTCATTTGTTTTCTTATCAGCAGATAGAAACATTTAAGAGAAACATCCAAGTCATCATCACAGAATGAGATTTTGCTCAGTTTAATCTGTCAGTGCTTTTTTGTTCTCATCCATGACCATAACAATGAAGCTAATAACAGTGTCCTATCTAAAAGGGGTTAAAAAATAATATAATTAAGTAAAACTCCCAGAATAGTGCCATGTCACAGTAAGAAATGTCAGTGTTGCTATAGTAGTGAAGGAAAAAAAAAAAAAAAAAAAAAAAAAAAACGGTTGCATGCTACAGAGCCATTGTCTCAGTATTTTGGCTAGTAGTTGATATCGTGTTACTAGATTTGATTATTTGATTGATTTTTTGAGGCAGAATTTCTCTGTGTAGTTCAGGCTGGCCTTAAATTCACTATAGAACCCAGGCTGACCTTGAACTCCAAACCATCCTCCTGCCTCAGCCTCCCAGGTGCTGTCATTGCAGGTATGCACCACCATACCCATATAAAACCCCTGTATTAGGTTTTATACTTGATTTTAACTTCATATTTTAACTTCAGACAATGTGTAGTATAGGAAGTGTTTTCATGTATAGCTAAAAAAGTAAAAATTCAGCTGATTGTAACTGTAACCTTTAATGTGCATGCTAATATTAGAAATCTTAAAATCTAGAAAAATCACCTTGGAATTGATGAAGTACATATGTTTACTTATACTTTTCACATTGTCTTTAAAATCAAAATGGCAAAGAGATTTAGATTAAGCTTTTTACTGTAACTACCAGAGAAGTTTGATTCCCTCCCTTGTGTAATAAAATCTTACTATTCCAGCAGTCCACTGATTTAAATCGTGGATCCTTACAGAGATGATATCTATCTGGAAGTGATAAAACAAACCCAAAGTTTTGATTTAAATAAAAGAGAGCATCTGATTGAAGAAATACACTTGTGACTTAACACTAGAGCACACAGTGCCTCATTCTATGAATATTCATTATTGATATTCACTGCCATTAGTATGTAAGTTAAACAAATAATTAGGCTGCTTCCTCAAATGTTCCTTCCCCTACTTAGCAGTACCTTGTGTCACTGCCACTTGCCTTCACTCCTTACCTAGGTGCTGATATGGACATTTAACACTATAGTGCTAGTGACTGCAAAGTGAAATTTTAATGTACTCAATTCCTGAAGTCATTGTAAGTGACATTGGATGACCCAATCACATACCAATCCATTGGAAAAGGAGGAGCTAGCAAATCTAAGCCAATTAAAATTACAAAAATGGAAGTAGAGGTGTGGCTCAGTGATCATGCCCAAATTTAGCATGTGTTAAACTCTTTTGAGTTCTACCCTACCACCAGAGAGAGCAAACAATATAATGATGATACCATAAGCATTTCTAAAGACTGTTACTTGACTATCAAAGAAACTCAAGAAAAATGATAATATTTTTTAAATAGTTTATGTTCATTCTGCAGGAGTCCTAAGGTTTTACAGGTGTCCAATATTATGAATTACTTCAGCAAATGCTCAAGGAAAACAAATGAAAACCTAAGGGAACACAAGGTTGTAGTGTTTCTCCTTTGATATATTGTTCCAGCCGGTGGACAGAAAGGAAAAGGCAAGTTAGAGAAAGGAGATAAAGAGACTTATTTGCCTAAAACTAACCTGAATCTCAAACTATAAAGTTTAATTTGCATAATAATGTGATTACTTGATTCTGATAAACCATAGGCTTAAAAATGATAAAGGTGGGGAGGCTGAAACAGAAAGATCACAAGATCTTATCTCAAAACAAAAATGAAACAGGTCTGGGAATGTAGCTCAGTTTGAGGACCCTGGGTTCATTCCCTAGTATGGTGAGTGATGAAGGTGATAAATATTATGCATTTTTTAAACCACAGTTTTATGCACACAGTACAAGGAAAAACTCAGGCCAAAAAGAGGAAAAATAAAGGCTTGAGCCAGGTATTATGAAAATTAGTGTTGAAAATATGCACAGATCCCATCTAACAAATATTACATCTTTAAGATTCATCATGTCATTTTTACCTGTGTCTTAGTCACTTTCTTATCATGGACACAATACCCAAACACCATAACTTAAGAGAGAAGAGTTTATTAGGCTCACATTTTTACTCCATAGTTAGCCAGCTCCAAGGCAGGAAGGCATGACGCAGGAGCCTGGGTGGAAGAACCGTTCACTCCTGGGGCCAGGAAGTAGAGAGAGAGTGAAGGGAGGGGCTGGGAATGGAGGGTGGACCCTTCCAGGTCACATGCCTTTATTGGTCACAGCCCACTTACAAGCAAGTCTACTATATTGCCTCTATAATCTACTCATCTTCCAAACATTAGGCTTTGCAGGGACTGTTTTAGATCTAAACCATAATAACCTCAGAATCAGTGAATATTGGAATCAAGAAGTCTTAGTTAAGGGTCACTGGGTTCAGTTCTCTAAGGACAATTAAATTAAGACACATGGGTAGATGATTTATCAAAAGCCACTAATGGCAACTGACAAGGTCAGGGCTAGAATACACTTCCTGACTCTTGTTCCAATCTGATAGGTCTATAAAATAGTATTGCACTGAACAGATTTTTAGAATTGAAAAATTTAAACCTGTGATTTTATTTCATGTAATATTTGTATCATATCAGATAACCTAAAAAAATCTACAGCAAAACACCAAGTAATACTGGTTGAAATATTTTTATAATGCCACTCAAAATGCATGACTGAGCTTTCAAAAAGACATGAAATGTTCATAGGCCACAAATAAGGAACTGAAAATTATCTTAAGGTGGTTCTTACTCCACTATTCTGGAAGCCTTTGCCTATTTTAGTTACAAAAAGTTTGAGTTTTAACATTCTTATGGGCACATGGCCTCAAGCTCATACAAGGCCTTATGTTGAAAGTGAGACTGATTTGAAACCAGTATTTGAAAGGTATTCTTGCAATGGAGGCTCAAGGAAGAATCTGGACAACAGAAAAAAATGATGAAGAGGAACTTGTCTGTCTTGTCATGGGACTTTTTTTTTTTTAATGTTCTTAACTCAGAATTTGAGTTTACAGAATCTGCACAATATAGAGAACTGCAAGGTAGTTACAGTTCACAAAATAGAGACAAATGCTCTTAATGTGTTTAAAATACTGTATTCAGTTTTTAAGAACTGAGCCAAAGGGCTGGGGATTTAGCTCAGCAGTATAAGCACTGGCTGACAGGTGCAGGGTAGTGAAATTGATCCCTGGCACCAAAACCAAAACAAAAAAACAGCCAAAAACATGAGAAAGGAGATAAAAATCAGTATCCAGAAACCAAATAGAATTTTTAAAGGGCATCTAGAAATGAAAAGTTTAATGATAGAAATTTAAAAGTCAATAGTAAGTAAAAGAGCATGCCGAACACACTTTAATAAAAATTATAAACAAGATCTAAAGAAAGGACCCCAAATGCAGTGCAAAAAGTCATATAGATGGAAAAACACAAAGGAAAGGGTTAAAGAAATGGCTAGAAGAAAAAAGTCTAAAATTCAATTGGAGTTCTAGAAATAATCAACAGACTAGAGGGAAAAAGTTCAAATAATAGCCAAATTATATTCAGGAAGTGTAATGAGTTACGTGCATATTTAAAAAAATAAGACACATTGAATTAAGTTACAGAAGATAATACTCTTGAAAACAGACATTTGAAAGGACCCATTTCCTATCTTAAAGAGAACAGTTTAACTCAGGACAGCAGACTCTGCTGAAGCTAGAGACAGTGGGATAAACTTTAGTATGAAGTAACATTTTCAGGCAAAACCAAAGATCAACACCCATGAATTCTTATTGAAAGGATTTTGAACTCAGAGAATCTGAAAAGTGAAAATGAAC